ACTAGCCCTTGCTACTGAAATACGAGCAGAGTTAGAGGCATTTGAGAATAGGTATGTCACCAGTATGCTTTCTCTTCTGTTCAGCAGCAAGCATGGAGCCCCTATCAGGTGATGACAGAAGCAACTGATGAAAGCAGCCTGAATCCTTGGGTCACCTGATGGCAGACAACCCCTGCTACTTCACAGCAGATTTTATGTGAGGAGATATAAAAATAAATACTATGTTAAACCATTTAGATTTCAGGTTCTCTGTGTTGCTTCAAGTAGGAATTAGTTTCTGTGAATAATGCACAACTTCTCTCTCTTGTTTTAGGCTTATATAAACTCTTAATAAAGGATGCTGTTGTTGTTAGGTGCCAGAGAGTCAGTTCTGAGTCATAGTGACCCTGTGTGCAATAGAACAAAATACTGCCTGGTCCTGTGCCAGACTCATCACACTTGCTATACCTGAGCCCATGATTGCAACCATCGTGTCAATCCATCTTGTTGAGGGTCTTCCCCTTTTCTGTTGACCTTCCACTTTACCAAGCAAGATATTCTTCTCCAGGGAATGGTCCCTTCTGACAACATGGGCAAAGTAGGTGAGATGAAGTCTAGCCATTCTTGCTACCACGGAGCATTCTGGATGCACTTCTTCCAGGACAGATTTGTTAGTTCTTTTTCTTTTAATTTTAAGAGCTTGTTTTACATTCAACATTTTGTGTGCATTTAGTTTCACTCCCCATTTACCATGCCCAACCTTAACCCAGTCTCCTCCCCTCCCTGCCCAGTAACCCTCCCCCTGTGCCCCTCATATTTATGCAATCCTGTTTTTCCTGCATTTCCTCAATTTGAATGTTGCCCCTCTGGTGCCCCATGGTCTATTGCTCTAAGGGATGAAATACCACAGAGTGTGTAGGTGTGTCATCCTGGGTTGAGTGGTCTGCATGTACATCTTGTTAACTATTGGGCTGGGAGCTAGCCCCTGGGAGTGAGTTTTATTCCAGGCCCAGAATGTGTTCCAGGCCCATAGTATTGGGGGGTCTCATCAGACTCTATCTGATCAGTAATTCTGGTCATTATTGAGTTTTTGGATTTGGTTCTGCATTCTCCCTCCTACTCTATCCAGGATCTCCAGATTTGATCCTTTCCTGAGTGATTGGCATTGGTAGCCAGGCACCATCTAGTTTTTCTGCTTTCAAGGGCCATCATGTCCTAGGGCTGATTGCTTCCAAATGCCCTTGTATTTTTGCACTCTTCTTTGCTTCCAATGCTAGGAAGTCATTAGCTGCATCTTAGATGGCCTCTTGAAAGCTTTTAAGACCCCAGTTGCTACTCACCAATGTAGGATGCAGAACAAGGCTTTTATGTATTTTGTTGTGCCAATTAAGTCTAGTGTCCCCAGTACTATGGTCCGGAGATGGTAGATCTATTGGATCTCTCTCCCATAGTGTCTGGGTGTCTGTGAGGGATTACTCTGTGTCTGTCTTCTATTCAGATTTGTTAGTTCTTCTGGCAGTCCATGGTACTCTCAGTATTTTTCACCAACACCATAACTCAAAAGCATCAACTCTTCTTCGCTCTTCCTTATTCATTGTCCATCTTTCACATGCATATGAGGTGATTGAAAATACTAGGTTTTGGGTTAGGTGTACCTTAGTCTTCAAAGAGACACCTTTGCTCTTCAACACTTTAAAGAAGTCTTTTGCAGCTGATTTTCCTTGTACAATGTCTCATTTCTTGACTGGTGCTTCTATTGGTGTTGATGGTGGAACCAAATAATATGAAATCTTTGACAACTTCAGTCTTTTCTGCATTTATTGTGATGCTGCTTATTGGTCCAGTTGTGAGGATTTTCATGTTCTTTATATTGAGGTATAATCCATACTGTTTAATAAAGGGTGGGGCAATGTTTTATTTGGTTATCCATGAGGTTGCCATGAGATGCTTCAGGCCACAGCAACTAACAATGAAAACAAGCTACTAGTGTATATCACTGGATGTAAAAAAAAAATTGAGCAATATATGTAAATTATAATTATCTCCTTTACAGGTGTTCTTCCAAAATGCATTCCCCTCCTAAGAGTCTGATATGTTTTATTTAAGGGAAGGGTCTAAGTTGTGTGTGTGTGTGTGTGTGTGTGTTGTAAATATATAACCGCCCCCCCCCCAAAAAAAAAACCAACTCACCACCTTCAAGTTGATTTGACTCATAGCGACCCCTCCCTGGGTTTCCAAGGTGGTATCTGTATGGAAGTAGATTGCCTTTCCGAGTAGATTTTCCTTCCGAGGAGTGGCTGGTGGGTTTGAACCACCAGATTTCTGGTTAGCAGTCAAATGCCTTAGGCACTTCACCACCAGAGCTCCTATGTAAATATGTATGTTAACAATATATTTTCCATTTGACATTTGTTACATGTACAGTTCAGTGGCGTTGTTTACATCTATCATGTTCTACCATCACTATTATCCATTTCCAAACTCTGCCCTCATGCCTCCTGCTCCTGGTAACCACTAATAAACTATGATCTTTATACACTCCTCTACTCTAGATATTTCACATAAGTGGAATCATACAACTTTTGTCCTTTTGTAGCTGACATTTCATTCAATTAATGACCAGTCAAAAATCTACTGGAACTGAGAGATTTAACATTGTGCCAGAATACAAGATCAACATCCAAAAATCAGTTGGATTCCTCTACATCAGCAAAGAGATTGGTGAAAAAGAAATAAGGAAATCAATACCATTTACAATATGAACCAAAAAACCACATGTAATGCTGTCGAGTTAGACCTGACTTACAGTGACCCCTCCTTGGGTTTCCAAGGCTATATCACTATGAAAGTAAATTGCCCAATCTTCCTTCCGACTTTCCGAGGAGTGGTTGGTGGGTTTGAACTGCCAGCCTTCTGATTAGTGGTCAAATGCCTTAGGCACTATGCCACCAGTGTTCCTACTAAAAAAATAAAATACTCGGGAATAAATCTTACCAGGGACACAAAAGTCCTGTTCAAAAAAACCTATAAAACACTACTTCAAGAAACCATAAGACATCTACATAAATGGAAGAACATACCATGCTCGTGGACAGGAAGATTGAACACTGTGAAGATGTCAATTCTACCCAAAGCAATCTATACATTCAATGCAATCTCAATCCAAATCCCATCAACATTCTTTAAAGATATGGAAAACCCAATCACTATCTTTATATAGAAAGGAAAGAGATCTTGGATAAGCAAAGTGCTATTGAAGAAGAACAACAAAGTAGATCTCACACAGCCAGATCTCAAAACCTACTATACAGCCACAGTAGTCAAAATGGCCTGGTATTTGTACAATGACAGACCCATA